TAGGGTAGGATGGGGCGAATGACATCTAAGGCATCATGCTGTCTCCCTCTGGGAAGGACAGATGCTGCTACCTCACTTGGCCCCGTGCTTTCACCCAGTGTGAAAGCTAGTTTGGCCCAGTGCTGTTAAATATGGAAACGATGAGGTGTCCTGCTGCTGCCAAAGTGCAGACCAAGAGGGCTTTGTGTTTGGTACGTCCTGCTTCCCTACGACCGTTTTTCAGAGACAGCACCAAGCCACTCCTTTGTGAAGCCTGTCCACATCTCTGTAGTGACACAGATTTCCTTTGGGCATGTTTCTTACCCCCTTGCAATTTTGAAATTTTCCTCAATACAGAACCAAAAGCAAAACAGGAGCTAAGTGGTTCTGCTCTCTTCATCATCTGTTAGCATTACACCATCTGCCCCAAAGCAGTGGGCCCGAGACTTCTCTCTTGTTCTTGCTGTACATGTATTTTTATATCCTCTTATTGTTCCTAACTTTTCCACCAGCCCCCGTTCATTCTGGGCTCTTACTTGCATGATTCTCCTTGTTTCGCACCACTCTTGGGTTCACTTGACTTTCCTCCCTCCCTACCCCCTTCTGGTAAGTGTCTCAAGATTCTGAATTTCCCACCCTGAACTGCAATCATAGCTGATTCCTTAGATGTCACTTTCTTTTCTTATGTGGGATTTATTTACCCTTATAATGTCTTAAGTTCACTTTTTAGAAAGTGAAACCCTTTCTTCCTTCCTTCCTTCCTTCCTTCCTTCCTTCCTTCCTTCCTTCCTTCCTTCCTTCCTTCCTTTCTTTCTTTGTAAATCTTATCACAATCATTTATGCTTGTGGTATTATACAGCTGTTTTCTTTGCAGCTGATAAAATTAACTTTCCTGGGACTCACAGACTGCAGTATTCCTTTTGCTGACTATCAGTCACTCCATGCTGATGTGTGCCTTCTCACAGAGTTTCTCCCTACAGCATGGGTTTATGTTGGTAGGTCAGAATTCAACTCCAAGAAGTAGTCCTTTCATTACTTCTTCCACCCAATGAAAGAAAAAAGATTCTTGGGCTAATAACTCACATACCTCCACAGGTTAGATTTCCACTGCACCATGTTTTCAACTATCTATCTATCTATCTATCTATCTATCTATCTATCTATCTATCTATCTATCTATCTATCTAGATAGGTAGGTAGATATAATCATATCTATAACCAACCTTAGGTTGGTTATCACTTAGATAAATATAAATTTCTTTTTTAAAAACATTAAACTCTGAACCATATTAAATGTACTATATAACACTTAAACCATAAATATACTCCTAAATAATTACACTTAGTCTATTTGGTACACTTTATGTACCAAAATGGAGAGCTGCGAGCATTCTAGAAGGCCTTGTGGCCTCATCTCGGTTACCACCACCTTTGACCAGAGGCATCACCATCCTGACTGACTCTTACGGCAAACACTTCCCATCTTCTCTGTTTAAATTTGCCACCAAACGACTCCTTCAGACAGCAGTTTGAGTCAGCCTGTTTCAGAACATTATAGACTGAATTAAGCAGAGCGAGTCTTTGGGACAGGCTTGCAGTTTGCTGTTGTTGCCTGTTAATGTGTCTTCTAATCCATCTTTTGAAGTGGGCCTATTCACTCACTATGTGGGACTGCATGAGTTTGCTGGGGGTAGCTTCTTTTTCTTGTTGACTGTTGGTGTCAAGTCTTTGACTCTTTCCCATGAGGAATTTGTGTAATTTCTTATAAATATTTGGTAAAACTGACAAACCAGTGACACAGTTTCTGCTGGTTTGGGTTTTGTCGTTTAAAAACAATTTGGTTGATTGTTGTTTAACATGGGGAAGGGACAGGCAGGAGAATTTTTTAAAAATATACATTTAATTTATTTAATAGTATCGAGGTGCCTACAATCTCTAGAAGGTAGAAGGAGGTAGAAACAGGAGAATCAAGGAGCTCAAGGCCAGCCTTGGCTCCATAGCAAAATTGAGGCAATCCTGGACTAGATGAGACCCTATCCCAAAAAAACAAGAAAAACAAAATTAATTTTTTTCTTCTATTTTTTAGTACTTTCTAACTTGTATTGCTCAAAATTAATTTTTTATGTTAAATTAATATTTATTTTTTAATTTATTTATTTCTTTATTAATTAATTAAAGATTTCTGTCTCTTCCCCATCGCCGCCTCCCCTTTCCCTCCCCCTCCTAACAAAATTAATTTTTATGTGACCATTTAGGCTTTGATTTTTATCAGTTTGATAAATTATAGTTTTGTAGAAATTTCTCCATTTTATCTAATTTTTCTAACTTAGTGACATAAATTTATTCATAATTCTTTTTGGTTTTGTTTTCAAAACAAGGTCTCTCTGTGTGTAGCCCTGACTCCCAGAATTCTCTCTGTAGATCAGACTGGCCTTGAATTTAGAGATCCATCTGCTTTCTGCCTCAGCCTCCTGAGTGCTGGGATTAAAGGTGTGCACCACCACGTCTGGCTTATTCATAATTTCTTATTATAGTTTTAATTCTTTTAGATTTGTAGTGATGCCCCCTTTTGGTAATTCGTGTCTGTTTTTAAAACAACTTTTGTGAAGCTTATGGGTTTTAACTCTTCCCAAAAGCAGTTCTGTTTTGTTAATCTGTGTACCCGTTTCTTTGTCTAAGTATTACTCACATCTGTGTCCTTCTCTCCTTTTTACATTTGCCTTTGCTTTTGTATTTCTTGCGGGTTCTTGAGATGGATATTTAGCTTGCTAATTTGTATCCATTCTTTTTTTGTTCTTCAAATAAAAGAAAAGCCCAGAGAAAGCTATATATGTCAGCTGCGTGGAGGGGAGGCTTAGAATAGAGAAGAGGATGGTTGCTCATGGGTAAGGGAACACAAACTGTTAGGAAACTTAAAAGCATGTGTAGGCTCTGTCAAGCATCTGAAAGGAAAAGACAGAAGACAAGAAAAAGGAAAGGGAACTGTCTTAGTCAGTGTTGTGTTGCTGTGAAGAAACTCCATGACCAAGGCAACTTTTGTAAGAGGAAGAATTTAATTGGGTGTTAGTCTACCGTCATGATGTGGGGAGCATGGCGAATGTAGGCAGACATGGTTCTGGAAAGGCTGATTTGCAGGAGCAAGAGAGAGAGGGGAAGAAAAAGAGAGCCACTGGGCCTTAAAGCCTACCCTCAAGTGACAACACCTTCTCCAACTAGGCCACATCTTCTCCAACTGGGCCACACCTAATTCTTCTCAAGTAGGGCCACCCCTGGACAACTAAACATTCATATATATGAGCCCACGGGGACAATTCTTATTCAAAGATATGTATATCTTTGGAGAAGTATACTCCTAACTCTTTTACGGAGCACTACAACTTTTAATATGTATTACTTTTCTTTGCATTCAGGCCATAGGATTTTAATTTCCATTGTGACTTCTTTCTTTACCTGCAGACTATTTAGAAATATCTTTCTTACTTCTATATATAAATATATATTTTAATTAATGGTTTCAAATTTAACTTAATTATGCTCAGAGTACATGCAGTCATTGTTTTTGAAATTTGTGAAAGTTGCTTTAACATTGTTTTTATGTTTATATTTTTAGTATATGGGTTAATGTTCTAAGCAACTTACATCAAGCTGTATTAACTTTCTTATTCAAACACTTTATACCTAATATACCCTTGCCATTTGTTTTATTAATTACTATGTATTTTTAAGACCTTTTTCTATGACTGTGAATTTAATTAAAACTTTGGGCTGGGGAGATGGCTCAGTGGGTAAAGCATAAGGACCACAGACAGGCAGGCAGGGTGGCACCTGTCACCACAGCACTTGGGCAGCAGAGACAGGGAATGCCTAGAACAAGCCGTCTGGCTAGACTCGCTGGAATAGTGTACTCCAGGTTCAGTCAGAGACCCTGCCTCAGAAAATGAAGAAGAACTACAAAGAAAGACACTTGCTATCAAATTTGTGTCCTCCACAGGCATGTGTTTCGTTACCACACGCACCCACACACATCCAAACTCACACACACACATATAGAAAGGAAACAATTTGTAGTTCTGTCAGCTTTCATATGATATGTATTCCATCTGTGTTGTTATGTATTTCTGAAGAGAATCTTATTATAAAGTGGTTCTCTATTTCTGGTAATGTGTTAGCTTTAAAGTCTGTATCTGACAGTAATGTTGCTGTAGTAATTCTTGGGAGAGGGATGCTAGGGTTTATGTGATTTTTTTTTTTACTCTTTTCATTTGAACCATTTTGTTTTTATGTTTAAATGTATCTCTTTTGTTTGTTTATCCAATCTTTAAAATAATCTTTATTTTATAAAAATATTTAATTTATATTTGATATAATTGATTATATATTTGTTCTTTATGTGCTTTTTTAATATTTTATTTTTATTTTATGTGTAGAGTGTATGTCTGTACACCACATGCATGCTGCACACATGGAACCCAGTAGAAGTCACCAGGTCCTCTGAAACTGGAGTTTGAGAGAGTTATTATCTGCCATGTGAATGCTGGGAATTGAACCTGGGTCCTCTAGAAGAAGCAGCTACTGCTCATAACTTCTGAGCCATCTTTTTAGCCTCTATTACATGCTTTTATCTTTTGATTTGTTGGTTCTTTTTTCATTTTATCTTTACTCATTTTGAAATTGTTTACTTTTATCAGACATTATATCTGTGACCTAACCATACAGACCATGTGGGTTCTTAGAATATTTTAGTTCCGCATGTGTCCCACAGTGCTAGTTACAGCATTTATAGTGCAGCCGTCACATTTAATAAGGGAAAATGACTATATGAATTCAAAGTTTGAGGGCATGGATTCTAAATATGTTTGATTTGGCCAGCCAAGTGAGATGAGGGAAACTGAAAAACTGTATGCCTCTGTGGTAGACAATATGTACTAATTTGCATTCAAAACCACTGTAACAAATTATTCTAAGAAATAGGTCTTACCTTGAGAGATGGTGATGGCAATATTTCTTTTTTTCATTCATAGCAACTCCGCTCTAATATCCGAGAAATGGAAAAGCTTTGTTTGAAAGTCCACAAGGATGACCTGGTTCTTCTGAAGAGGATGATCGATCCTGTTAAGGAAGCAGCAGCAGCAGCCACAGCAGAGTTTCTCCAGCTCCACCTGGAGTCTGTTGAAGAACTCAAGAAACAATTTAATGAGGAAGAAGCTTTATTACAGCCTTCTCTGACCAGATCCACGACTGTTGGTGGTAACATGTCTTACTCTTGATCCTACTGGTGCCGTTAGCTAATGCCCCTCTCCTCAGGTAGTAGGGACACAGAGAGGCCTTGTACGTTCCTAAACAGACCAGATATGTGTACCCTGGAGATTTTGCAAGATAAAATTGTGTGGATTGGAACTTTAAGTACCTGCTTGCCCATGTGTTGAAGTAGAAAGCTATTTACTACTAAAAATAATATTGTCCTTGTGTGTGGTGTTCACCTCTCTCCTTTCCAGTGTGGGACAAGCTGGTGTGGATTTGGTTGTCTTTACTCTTTGCTCTTTGAGGGGCCCACCACCCTGCTCCCAGATAAATACACAGAGACTTAGTCTTACTTACAAATGCCCAACCTTGGTTTGGCTTGTTTCTAGCCAGCTTTTCATAACTTAAATTATCCATCTACCTTTTGGTCTTTTACCTCTCTCTATTTCTGTATTTCTTTCTTTCCTTCCTATTCTGTGACTGGCTGGTAGCTGGCCTCTCCCATCCTCCTCTCCTCCTTCTCTCACACCTCGCTCTTCTACTTATTCTCTCTGCCTGGCAGCCCCCCCCCCCCATCCTTTCTCCTACCTCGCTATTGGCTGTTCAGTTCTTTATTAGACCATCAGGTGTTTTAGGCAGGCAAAGTAACACATTTTTACAGAGTTAGACAAATGCACATAAAAGAATGCAACCATCTTTACATCATTAAACAAATGTTCCACAGCATAAACAAATGTAACACATCTTCAACTATATTCTCCAACATGTTTGGGAGCTGTTCTTATTAGCTGCTCTGTCGTCACACACTGGTAGTCTCTCTCCACTGTCTATTCTCTGAATATAACTAACAAGTGAAAAATCTGTGGTGGGACCATGATGTCAACTTTTGTGAACTGATATTTTAAGAAACAGCCTTATGAAAACAGTGTTATTATCATCTCTAAGGATGTACTTGATAATCTTTGGTGACACTGTGCTAGTATATTTTATGCAGAAAAAATTGGCTTAATATATCACAATACTTCAAAGCAATTGTTTTTTGTTTAGTTGGGTGGTTTGGATTTAAATCTTATAAGTAGTGAGTAGAATAACTAGTAAGGTTTCTGTACTTGAGTTATCTCCTTAAAATTTTTTTTACTCACCAAAAATTAAACTTGTAAAGTATGTTGGTTTTATTTTGCAACTCTTGACCTTATTTCATTTTCTATTATAATTGTTTATCATTTATTTTTAATTGATTCCATTTCCTTCCATTTTATATCTCTTAAGAGACTTAATCCTTATGAAAAATATGAACTACAAATCAGCTAGAAATTAAGTGGAAACTTGGGGATACTGTACCTAGGCAGAATTCCTTTTTTAAATCTTGTATTGTTTCCACTCCTTATCTCTAAATTTATATTATTTAAAATGTGTATTTATTCATTGCTAATGAGTCAGTACTTTGCAAAGGAATGCCGACACATTTAGGTAGCCTGGCGTTTCTATCGCCTTTGTACCTTACACAGTACTTTACACATATTGAACTGTTCATAGATGTATTACAAATAAAAACAAATACGCAAACATATATTAGGGACAGTTTGTCACTTGAGATATGCTGCAATAGAGCTGGCACAGTGCTACATACGTGTAATCTCAGTACTTGGGAAATTGGACTAGGGTGAGCTACTGAGAGTTCAAGGCCATCCAGGGTACACAAGCAAGCCTTTTCCTATAAAACTAAATGCTTGGGGCTGGAGAGATGGCTCAGTGGTTAAGAGCATTGCCTGCTCTTCCAAAGGTCCTGAGTTCAATTCCCAGCAACCACATGGTGGCTCACAACCATCTGTAATGAGGTCTGGTGCCCTCTTCTGGCCTGCAGGCATACATGTAGACAGAATATTATATACATACTAAATAAATAAATAAATAAATAAATAAATATTGCCAGGCGATGGTGGCGCATGCCTTTAATCCCAGCACTCGGGAGGTAGAGGCAGGCAGATCTCTGTGAGTTCGAGACCAGCTTGGTCTACAGAGCTAGTTCCAGGACAAAACAAACAAACAAACAAACAAAAAAAAACCTAAACCAACCAGCCAAACAAACAAACAAAAAAGTGCTTCAGTCACTTTTCTGCATATCCAGTGCTAAAATGTTAGTGCTCATCTCTTAAAAGACATTTGGGGGTCGTGCTTCTTGGTAGTTTGCCATTACTGTTTTCACAGTTCTATGATTCCCACCACCATGTGGTGCAGAGGAAGACTGCCCCTGCCTCAGTATGCACTGATGCTTTTTGTGCACAGGTAGAGACTGGGCTTTCCCATCCATGTGTTGATGGACTACCTTCTATAATCGACATTTTGACAATGATGGCAGTAATAACAGCGGAGATAATAGGGTTTTCTAGAAAGAGTAGTTGGTGTCGGTCTCCTACTCTTTAGCTTCAAGCCCATCACTAGTGTTTTTATCTGAAGCAAAATACTTGAATTTATTCAAGATTTTTTGCATAATAGTAATATAATAATTGCTTTAATTTTCATTTTATTGTTGCATTGTATGCATTTATCCAAGTTGAACTGTTTGTGGGCAGCACACGTGAGCATATATCACTGGGTAAATTACCTGGTTACCCACTCCATGCCAATTACTCTTCAGTATAAACAGAAGATTAGTGAGAAACCTGAGACTTGGCAGAATCTGAGAAAGCATGTGTATTAAAGAAATAAAAAATTAGGATGGAGACAGAGGATTAGTGGGAAGATGCAGCATGTGAAATTAATTTTCAACTATATTAATTCTCAAGCCTCTCAATTCATGGAATATCAGATAATCTAAACTTCTAATGATTGCCACTGGAGAACACAGTGCTGATATGATTAGGGCACTCATTCTGTTTGTCAAACCACATGCCTAAGTCATAGCTAACACAGAGTAGAGTTCAGATTCTGACTGCTCGTTCTTTCACCTCAAGTCCACTGTCCATGGAAAGTGGGGTCTGACCAGCGCCCGCAGTCACAGAGTAAGCCTGCACTCGGCTGCCTTATCTACAGAAATACTACTGACAAAGGGGAGTAATGAGAAGAACACAAGGAGCGAACTTCCACAGGCCTCTGAGGTTGAGTAGGATGGGGGATGCTGCCGCCTGCTAGCTGTGGACTGTCTGTCTCTCCTCGTGTTTTTGTCTTGTGCATTCTAGTTTCTTCTTACCTTTACTTTGCATACCCGTTATAGTAGTGACAGCCTATACAGAGAAACGTGCGCTGTTTGCATGGGAGTTAAATGACTTAAAATTCTTTCTTCTTTATAAATCTGAGTCTAAATATTTTGGTTGGAAACAGATTCAGGAGCAATCTTGCCACATTTCTATGGGTGAGATCAAAAACTAGCTTCCATTTCCAGGTAGAAACAATGAGAAGAGGGCATCTTATGTTCTCTAGAAAACGAAGGGGGTGTAGGGGAAGCTGTGAGTGCTGTTTCTGCAGATTGGGGGAGTTCCAGAAGCCAGCCTCTGCCAGTCCTGCTTGACATGAGAATCTCCCCGAGTCTCATTGTGTGGAGACTTTCATTTCCTTCTCGTGGCTCCCTATCAAGAGGAATGATGAGCCCATCCATCTGATTTGCATTCAGAATGGAGGTCCATGCCATCTGTGGGGAAGCAGTGCCTCTCTGCAGTTCCTGTCTGTCTTCCCCATTCCTGCATCCAGGACATCCCCTTCAGCAGCACAGCAGGAAGGGAATTTTCATCCATTTTCAGCAAATACTCACAAAAGAAAATATCTCAGTCGTAAAGCTGCTGGTAACTTCAGACCAGCATCTAGAATTTGAAGCAATACTAGATTTTTATCTCTGGCGTATGTGTGCGCAGAATGGTTCTACAGAACACAGAGCTGTTTTGTTGGATAGTATGCAGAAGATCCGTCTCCCGTTGATTTTAATCTAAAAATCCTCTTCTGCATCAAGCTGTGACTTAGAAGTCATTTTATTTTGATAGATAGGTTTATGTTCAGTGATGATCAGTAAATGAATTTCATTTTTAAGGTGTCAGAACTTGCAAAGTTTAAGGAATGCCTTTGAATTTATTTAGTTTTGTCGAGAAACACTACTAATGTCATGAAGGTTAGTGGAGTTTTCTCATGTGTTGGACTGTACCTCCTGGGAGAGAGTCTTTGCAGTTCATAAAGTACAGAAGAAAAGAGAGGGCAGGACACTGTTAGATAGCTTATTTATTATCACTTCAGCCAGAGGGAGTTAATGGTCTTAAGGTTTATTTGAATGAATAGCCAGTAATAAGGCTTGACATCGAATTGTAGTGTTAGAAACACACACATACTCAGACACACCACATACACACACCACACACACTCACACACTACACATACCCTTTTATGAGTTTGTAAGTGTTCATAGTCAAAGGATGAGCACTAAGGGACAAGTTGAAGCAGTGAATTGCAGAGGTTGGAGGAATTAAATGAGTTCTTTCTTGACAGTCATGCCTTGAGCTGATTTGTGATGTTCAGGGTTGTAAATTACCAGCAAGGTTTTCTGTGGAAAAGAAAGGACGTCTTTGTTGTAACTAAGACACATACGTAGTTTGGTTTCAAGTGAGATGGGAATGACCTAATCATTTCCTTTTTGTAGTGACAGAAATCTTTTATATTTGTCTAAAATGTCAGATAATTCCCATCCCTATTTTTTTTAGATAAAGCACTTATGTATGATAATCTTTTCTTGTTTTATAGACCCTGTCTGTTTCACTCAAATCTTCTTTAATAGTATATAAGTTATGGCTTAAGATCTTTAAAGTGTGTTCAGTTACAGAGTTCTGCCACTGTTCTGTCTGATACTGATCAAGAGGTTACCCGGAGTGTGAAATGAAAAAGAGGCCATAGGTTGATTCGTTTATCTTGATTGAAGGGAAAATTAAAAAATTTTAGCATTTGAAAAAAAATCATTGAAAGCTTTTAAGATTGGCTCTTTACTATAATGTTATGAAATGTACTCTGTGCCTAATGATTTTGTTCTTTAAGATAAAAACATAGACAATACAGAGGGCACTAATTAGGTTTAATATTAAAAAAAAAAAGAGGACAGGAAAATGGGAAGAGTGGGTATTGGAGGTTCCAGGCAGAGTAGAAGGGGGCCTTACTGGGCGTGATCAAGATGTATTGTTGACAAAAAAATAAATAAAAACATTATTTTAAAAAGCATATTAAGAAAAAACTGAGTCTATATGGGCAATCTAACACTCATAAATCAACAGAGAGGGAGGGAGGAAGGGAGGGAGGGAGGGAGGGAGGGAGAGAGAGAGAGAGAGAGAGAGAGAGAGAGAGAGAGAGAGAGAGAAAGAGAGAGAGAAATCATGTTTAGAATTGAAAAATAACCACTATGAATTCTTATGTCTGCCTTGCCATCTTTTGTTCAGCTGATTATGCCCTTGATCAGTTCAAACAAGCTTTTATCTTAAGAATAAAGTGTTCATTAACTTTGAAGATAAAACTAATCACATGGTTTTATAAAGTATCATTCGTTTTTTAGGCTTGGCTGAAAAAAAGGAATGGAAAGGAAATGGGAATTAATATAGTTTCTTGATGACTGGCTTAGGTCAGATCAGAAGTCATCGTGCCATTTCCTAATAGGCTTTATAGACAGCCTTCAGCAGTCCTGTTGTCTGCCGCAGTCTTTACCTGCTCTTACAACGTCTTTCACACTGTACCCCGTCTTGCCCTTCATGCTTTGACAATGCCAGCTGTCGATGGTATCTTAGCTGTATTCTTTCTTGAGGTCTTGCTCATGCTGGCTTCTCCATCTAGCATTCATATTCCTCTTCTTTGCCTAGTAATGCCACCTTTTCCAGAAAGTCTAAACTACCTGCCACATCAGGCTAGATTAGAACTCCCTCCAAATTCTGTCTCTGTCATCTCCAATGCAGTCTCCCCCTTTTTTATGGCCACCCCTTTGTGTGTCTAATTCTTCTAGAATGTATGTTCTTTGAGGGTAGTACTCTGTATTACTCATTTTTTTTTCATCCTTGATACTATCGACAACACATAATGTTAAACCTGGGCCAGTGAGATGGCTTAGCAGTTAAAGGTGCTTGTCACCAAGACCTGAGTTTGACCCCTAGGACCCACATAGGAGAGAACTTTCCCCCATTCTGTCAAGTTGTCCTCTGATCTCCACATGTGCATCATGGCACAAACACATGTGTGTGCACACAATAGATAAATAAAATGTAATTTTAAAAAGATGTTACTATAGTTGTTCTGGGTTTAGAGTGGAGTAAGGACAGCTCTGGTGTCCTCTCTACCTCCACTGCCACTGCCCTAGAACTAGAGATCATCGCTTGCACTGGATGTATTGTAAACCCCCCCGGCTGGGTTTTCACTCTCACCTGTCAACTTTGTCCTTAATGTATTCTTTACACTCTGGCTCAGGTCTGATTTGGCAGCTTCCAACTTCACAGCCATCTCCAGTTCTAATAGTTTGGTAGTGATTACATGAGAAGAAAGAGCTCTTGTAAAGCTTCCTGATGCCCCCAAGTAGTCTCACTTTAGGCTGTCAGCCTCCAGTTTTGCTTTGTCCTTCATTCCAGTCTGTGCCTCAGCTAGTCTGAATGTCTTCCCGTGTCAGGACTGTGCACACATTGTTCTCCTTGAGTTAGACACGTGGGGCATCTTCCTGCACTCTCACCCCTCTCCGTCTGTCTTATTTTCTCTCATCCTCAGGCCTCAGAGCTCCTGATGACTACTCTGTCTCCACAAGCCAGGATTAAAGGCCAGGCTTATACTACGTACCTCATACTCACCTGTGGCATAGTCTTGTCACACAATACTGACTGAACTTGACTGTGGCATTTCTGTACCACAGGTTCCATGGAAGCTCTGTCCATGATAGTAGCAGTAGCAGTGGCAGCAGCAGGGCCAGGTTCTATGCAAAGTAGACAGCAGCTTCCTTTACCAACAGGAACAGCAGGCCACCAGGACTCTAACACCAGTCTTTCTGAGCAGACCCACAGCGCTGACAGCCCTGTGGTGCTGCCACTTCAGGGTTGGTTTTGTAGCCTACTGTTGTGTCTCTATTAGGAGTGCCACAGTGTCTGTTTCATCAAGGAAAGGCCCAAAAAGACTTGAAGGTCGATGTTTATAGTATATATTACTTTGTTATTACAGTATTGTTTAGTAAATAGTTTTTGTAGGTTGAAAGATTTTTAAAACTAAAAAAAGAAGTAGAAGAAACCATGGAAGTATATGGAAGAAGAACGGCTCTAAGCAGAGTTACGTGTCCAAAAACATTCCTGTGGCAAATGTGCTCACTGCTGACGTCACCAATAGTCTGATGCTAATTGCTACAAACACATAACTACTTCACTTTCCTTCTGTACTAGTAAACCAAAGTGTCCCCCATAGAGCTAAACCCCAGCACACTTTCCTACTCTAAAATTATATGTTGATTTTTACTGTGTGTGTGTGTAATGTGAGTTGTGGTGTGTGTGTGTGTGTAGGTCAGAGAACAACTTTGTGGGATCTGTTATCTCCATCTTTACGTGGGGGACTGAACTGGGATTGTCTGGTTGGCAGCAAATGTTTTACCTGCTGAGCCGGTGAGTCACCGGCCCCACTGTCCTGCTTTTGACACCTGTTATATCTGATCCTTATCACTAAAACAGCTAAGTCCAAGCCTACGCATTTAGCAGCAGAACGTGTTTTACTGCTGCTGCCCTATGCTGTGTAGAACGCTGGCCAAGTGTAGTAGTTGCCATTGCCGCCGCTTCCACCTCTGACCCTCATCATTCAGTTACATAAAGAACATGTATAGGTCTTGCTTGGTGCCTTTGCGTTAACTCAGAGAACACAATGCTGTTTTCATAGATTGATCCATTTACTTTTAGCCTGAACGGAATTATAAGTATTCTCTGTGCTAATTACCTTTAGAGCCAGTTTGTGTTCTGTCCTTTCTGAGAAGCAAGCTCTAACTAGGCCTGTGTCCATCCAGGAGCACTCCACACTGCGGAGGCCGAAGCTGCTTCTCAGAGTCTGACTCAGATATATGCCTTGCCTGAAATTCCTCGAGACCAAAATGCTGCTGAATCCTGGGATAACTTAGAAGCGGTATGTTAAGCGCATTTTCTTTTTGTTAACTGTGCGATGTAACAGTAAGTAATTCCCTCCCTCTCTCTCTTCTTATAGGACTTAATCGAACTTAGCCACCTGGTCACTGATTTCTCCCTCCTAGTAAATGTAAGTATTGAACTGAGTAAGGCTCAGAACTAATCAGTCACTGTCCTTTTGATTAAAATTTTAATAGAGGTCACTCACATATGTTTAAAACATTTGCTTTTATTTTATGTGTACAAATGTTTAGCCTGCATGTATGAATGTGTAACACCTGTGTATTTGATGCCCACATGTCAGAGGAGGGTGTTGGATGCCCTGAAACTGGAGTTACAGGTGTTTTTGAGTTGTGGTATGTGTGCTAGGAACCAAACTTGGGTCCAATGCAAGAGTAGCAAGTGCTCTTAGCCTATGAGCCTAGATTATAATTTAAAAATGATATTGAACTATGAAACGGTCCCAGAATTCTAGATCAGTTTAATAAATATTATGTAAAAAGTACTTTGCTGGATTCTCAGTGTTGGAAGTCTGACCAAGTTGCACACAGACATAAATCAAGTCTACTTTCTGCCTTTGGGGATTCCATGGGAGGAAGAGGTGGGCTGTGACTCTCACACTTAGTTTTCAAGCATGATAACTAAATGCAAAATAAAGTGAGAAGCCTCATCAGCTCCAAGAAGAAGCATGTATTCCAGGGAGGGAGGCGTGGTTTATGAGACAGCAGCATTAAAGCTACCATCACAGGCTGGTATTAACGTGAGACTTGAAGAAGGAGTAAATGCTCCCAGAGGGCCACAAGGAATGTTCTTTCGAACAGGTGAACTAGGACAAGACATGGTGAGTTCTGTGGACTGTCAAAAAGTTCTAAGTATACCCATTATTCAAAGTACGAGGGACACACAGGGATTGATGAAGGCCAGCTTGTGCTGCTGCTGAATTTGGGTTGCTTTGTGGGCCTGAAGGAGCTGGTACAGATGTCCTGCAATCCAGTTTGTGCCTTAGGAAGACTCTTACAATGAAAGGGAGGTCATGGGCACGGTGACTAGCTGGGAACCAGTTATAAGAATTTAACCTGTAGGTAAAGTGGTAATACCTATAGAGTGTAAAGGATGCTCAGAATCCTTTGAGGATCTTTTTGAGGGTCAACCTGGAGGGAGGTGAAGTCAAAGACAGGAACCTTTAAGGCCTGAATGAATCTGTTGTCATAGATTAGGGAGCACGTTATATTTTTGGTAGGAAATATAAATTTTTTTAAACTGCTTTTTGTTTGTTTGTTTTCTCCTGGGAACTATAGAAAGGTATGGTGTGTGAATACCTGTTTACACAGGTGCAAAGTAATTTCGGCTTGTGCTTTGGCTAGGCTAGTTCCCTGTTCTTGCTCAGGCCGTGAATTGCAACCCAGCTTCTCTAAATCTTGGCTTTCCTAAGGCCTGGTTTTGATGTGGAAACTCCTAGAGCACAGCTCCTCAGAGTGGAATGGGGGAGGACTCCAGAGCTTGCTAATCTAGCCCAGTACTCTGCCCCAGTTTCTCAGACCACTAACTTCTAACTTTTGTCTTTCTAAAAGTTATGGGTGTGACACTGATGCTCAGCCATTCTTTTGAAAGTTGTAGGAGGGGTGGAAGCTCTTCCTTGTGTAAATTCTGTCAGATAATTTTTCTTGGGCACTTTTGTCCTCTAGAGCCACATATGGAAGAGTTATTTTCTTTCAATATAACTTGTCAAGGTTTTGAGATGATTGTTCTTGTTTCTTTGACCTACCCAGACACATTTTCATTTCTTAGAAATGCTCTCCTTTTGCAGCTCTCCTGTATCAATGAGTTCTAGACTTAAGTTCTAGACTGTCTAGTGTTAGCCTTTTCTTCTTATGGTCTATCTTATGGCTATTTTTCTGGAGAAATGACTGACATTGAAAGCAATAGATTGTTTGAATTATTACTGATGCCTCTAAGTCAAAAGAAAAAAATGTTAGTAGTCTCTAGACTAGCTGTCTCTATGGCCTGTTATTATTTTGCAGATGGCGGGGAATGATACAGGAGTCCCCCAACACATGTGTTGTTTACAATCAAGATCTATCCAATTATTGTAATTAATAATCTCTCACTCTTATGCAGTTCATAAAGTCTGTGTATGCATGGTTACATAAATATATGCACTTGCCAAAGCCATCAATCTGCGCACTTAAATGTGTTTCAATATATGTAAATTATACATCACTAAGGTTGATTTAAAAAAACAAACTAAAGGTATACTTAGCTCTTATCCAAATAAATTCATATTCTCTTCTGGTGGATAGGCATGTGAAAGAAAAGAATAGAGTTTGTGAAGAATTAGCAATTGTGTGTTCTTGATTTTATATAGTAAGCAGGTCACAACCCAGTCTAACCCGGGAAGGTTCCGGCCACAGCCACAGCTCCATACAAATGTCCTAGTTATAATCATCTCTGCAAGGACACGAGACGCAGTGCTGTTTGGCAGAAGCTCAAAGGAGAGCCATGATTGTTATTCCCAGGATGATTGAGTTCTTGTGACACATGGCCAAGAAGTCACAGAAGCTCCATGTAGGTAGAGAATAAGCAGGAGCAAGGAGTGACCACATCCTCTGTTGTCACATGGATGTGATTGTATCTGGACAGCCATATGGTTAAAGAACTTTCTCTGGGTGCACAGCTGTGCTGAACTCAGGAGGATCAAAAGGCCTGTAGGGTAATGCTGCCGATGCCTCTGTATTGTGAATAAGATGCCACAGAGTTGTACACTTGCAAGTCATTAGAATATCAAGGTGTCCATAGTTTGCTGTAAACAGGATTCACGAAGATAATGAGAGATTACAGTATGGCCCAGTAACTCTAAGTAGATTAATATCTACAGGCCCCTGTTCTGCTTGTGCAAGTGCCCCTTTCTTGTGACCAGCCCATTTCCTTTTGGTCAAGGAGAATTTAAAGAACTCTGAGCCAGAAGCTGGACAACATGCTACCCCTTATTGCTGGGTCTGTTTTGACTTCTATCTTTTTCTCTGTGGCTTTTGAAATCCAATTTTGTTCTGGCTGTATTAGAATAGGACTGCAGTGGATTCAGCTAGATTTTTCCATGCATAGCCTCTATGAACTTTAGCATGTTATTTGGCAGCAGGTTTTGCAGACCCAATGAAAGGACTACCTCAGACAGCATCTTTCCTCTCTCATCCCCATCTCCCTCAGCTATTCTGCAGCCTTGTTTTGGGTCTTACCTTTGTCACCAGCATCCTTAAGTCCCCTCCCAATGCAGTGTTCCCTCTCTACCCTGCTTATATCCTTTACTAGGTCAAGATAACCATTGTCTCCCTGTGTATCACATTTCAAGTTCTTCCTGAGTTCTCCTGAAACTGATTTGCCCCTATCACTGCTTCTACAGATTTGGCTACTTTCAGGCCAATAGGGCAACTAATTGAATATTCCTTAAAATGTGCCTTACAAGTGACTTAGTCCATTGTTAAAGGGATACTGAAAACACTTCTAAGTGCCACAGAGTAAAATGCCAGGCTGGTATTGGGGGGTGAAAACTGTTCAGTATGAGAAATCTAGGTAGCTGAAGACAAACTTAATCAAATCAGAAGCAAAGAGGCAAAGTAAGTAGATAAAGGCAGAGGCCCTGAGTCACCACTGTTGGGAGAAGCCTGATCTCATAGGCTGTGGGTAATGTTATTTTTGTGCAGGTTGGCCCCATGTAAAGAGCTAAGGATTTAGCTCTAAATGCTGTATAGTTTCACATTCTCCTGATTGTGATTGAAAGCTAACTACAATCATTGTGGATATCACCAAGTCCTTCTTATGCATGAAGTAGAATCTAAAGATACAGACAGTTGGAAGAATGAAGCCAAACTAACAGGAAGAAGCAACTAGGTGTGTTTAATTGAGGGATGTCTGTTGACCCAGGGTAGGGCTTTCTGCCCTCTGGCTTCTCCTATCCCCATGTCCCAGCAAGCTTCCCAAGGTCTGTAGTACTAACAGATGTAGGCTACAACCCCAGGACAGATAGACTCATCTTGGACTGGTAGTTGCACTAATGAATGCATTACAGTTGAAATAATGAGTGTTTATAGGTCAGGCATTTTCCTGGTAGTCTTTTCTCCGATTTTCCCAAAGGATTTATGTAGGGAAAAATTAGTTATCTTAAAATTCTACTTTAAACTTAACAAATCACTGCAATGATTTGAATGAGAGTGACCCCAATAAGCTCATTGAATGCTTAGTTACCAGAGAGTGGAACTCTTTGAAAGAATTAGAAAGATTAGGAGGTAAGGCCTTCTTGGAGGAAGTTTGTCACTGGCATGGGCTTTAATGTGTCAAAGGCCCATGCCAGGACCATTGTCTGTCTCTGTCTCTTGACCTACCGATTAGGATGCAGCTCTTAGGTGCTTCTCCAGTACCATTTGTACCACTATGCTCTCTGTCACTCTGCTCCCTGCCATGATGACGATGGACTAAGCCCCCGAAACCTTAAGCAAGCCCCCTGTAAATGCTTTCCTATAGAAGAGTTTCTTTGTTAATGTGTCTTTTCACAAACAAAGCAGTGACTAAGACAGCCATAGTGTTGCAGTATCCAAAGTTTTAGGAAGGGGCACAGACATAAATAAATCTTCCTGAGGTCTATGATCACTTGGAGTGTGGACTTAGGAATAGCCCTAGCAGACTTCTCCCTCAGCTCTTCATCCTCTACCTTAGCCATAAAGATGTAAAAATTGGTGCTAGGGTTTTACTGCAGTGGCTCATCTGCTAGCGTAGATTGCTTCAGGCAAGAGTGGGAAGCAGACAGAAGCCCTGCAGCGGTCAGGAATACAGGCAAGTTGGATATTGTTGGTGCTGGCACTTCTGTGGCTAGAAAGCTGACTGAAAGGAGCTTTGCTGTTGTAAAAATGAAAATCCAGTGAACATAAGGGAGACTTGTTATCTGAGAACACCATCAGGAGCAAGCTCGATAAACTGTTTTGCTGGAAAGATGAGAGTTAGCATTTCCTCGGTAAAACCAGGATGGTGTTTCTGTTTTCCCATTGTGCTCTGTGGATGGCTCATTGTATCCCCCTTTTACCACACTGAAGGAGAAATACCATAGTCCTCTTGTAGCAGATGAGAATACTTGGCCCGAGAACATACCAGGGCCACAGAATATCTTATATTTTGTGCCAGTCTTAATCATGGAAGGTAGTGATGTTCAAAGTATGTGAAATGGGAGGCTGAAAAGACGGCTCAGCAGTTAAGAGCATGTACTACTCTTGCTGAGGACCTAAATTTGGTTCCCAGCACCCACACAGGTTGCTTGTAACTTCCTCTAACTACAGCTTCAAGAGATCTAATACCCTCTTCTGTATTGTGCATGTGTGCGCTCGCTCTCTCTCTCTCTCTCTCTCTCTCTCTCTCTCTCTCTCTCTCTCTCTCTCTCACACACACACACACACACACACACACACACACACACACACACACACAGACCGACAGACATACTCAGACTGTATTTCAGGACTGCTACATTAAAAGCTTGTGTTTCCAGAAACTTCGCAGGTGATCTGGTGTGTACTCAAGTTTGAGAGCCTTGGCTATCCTTGTGTGACAGATTCAAAAGAAATCGGAACAAGTACTATTTTAGGAATTGTTAGGGATGTCGAGATGGTGGTGGAGAATCCTGGGATGAAGGGCCACCACAAAAGGCCTGGCAGAGAGAAGGTACATGTTGGCCGGGAAGGAATGCCAATAATGCTAATAGGAAACAGCTGGGGGCTTGTGAGCAGTGCTGTGCTTACCTTCTCTTGTGGAATGCTGAGTGGGATAGGAAGCATTAGCTTTGTTTGCCTCAATCTAAATAGGTTTAAATAAAAGGCAGTTGGATCACTGTGTAAGGAGCATTATGTGGAGCGGAAGAGAGGGTCTCCTATGTGTTTCTGCAAAGAAGTGAAAGAAATTACCCGTGTCCTCATGTAGTGATCACATGCTTTTCTACATCGGATAAGGACCTATTGCACTTCACCATCAATATGGGTGCATAGTATGGTATATAACTAGTTAACTAACTATATATATATACATATATATACACCTATATGAGTGTCCATATATACACATATATACCTATTAAAACAAAATAAAGTTGATCTTGATGAGATCCTGGTTCCAGGGTGAGGACAGAGTGCTTGTGCCTGAGGTGTCAGTCAGAGCAGAGCTTGGTAGCCATTCATGAGTGGCACTGAGGTGGTTCACACATTAGAGAAGAAATGGCAGTCCCCAGCTCCACCATTCCTCCATCAGGGATCCCAGGAGTCATGATCGTTGCTGGATCAGAGCAGGTGTTACTGTTGTAGGTAGACTGCTGTACTATATTATTGATCTGAACTATCTTAACTTGAACTATATTTTATTTAGTAAAAAGGTGTAAAACTCAAGACCACAAATTCTTTCATTACTCCTTATTGCATATCAAAAGTGCAAAGATCTCAGGCTGGATTATACCATGTTGTAGTGTCATTCTTACAAAAGAACAGTTTGTATTCGTTGGGTCAAAGGCATTTTACTCCTAAAGTAAATTTGATTGAAACAGAATCTCCAAAGAAGATAAGTTATGGACTTTGTTTGAATGTTTTCCTTTTTTTTACTATCAAACCCAACATGACATGTAAATGCTTATTTGGATTTTTTTTTCCTCCTACAAAGTAGGTTCATTTGGAGAATAATATGTTTGCATGTTTGAATGAATTCCAGTGTAAGGTGCTTTTTGCTATGAAGGTGCCACCCTTTTATTACCCAGTCATTAAGTCCCCCCTTTTTCTGTGAGAGTGAATTTGTACTTTCTACATGGTTTATCAGATGCTATTAATGAACCACTATTAAGACTGCAAGGCTGCAGCACCCGGGGCCTGATTACAGGAATTAAAATAGTGTGTGTTGGCTTCCCACTGCTCCCCAGCAGGACCGCTCACTCATAATTCCTTTGCATCTAGTCTCAGCAGGAGAAGATTGACAGCATTGCAGACCATGTCAACAGTGCTGCTGTGAATGTTGAAGAGGGAACCAGAAACTTGGGGAAGGTAAGATCCTGCTCCTGCTGACAAATCAATGGTACTCCGGCTCCCAGGAATCTCTAGTATTAACCCGATTGATCTGCTCTCTTCAGTGTTGAGGGAACCAGCAATTAAGGAAATAAGGAAGAAATGACACATAGGTAGTGTAAGAAATCAATGGCTGTAATATTCTACTCCCAGATTCATTCTATCATCAGAGATTTTTTTTTCTCAGAGAGAATGAACTGTGGTCTCACTCTGGGGCATTTAGTTGTTATGAAGGAATATATGCAGAGGCCTAGGGAGAAGAGAGAGCTGTCCATTAATCCAGCCAGAGCCGAAGTGCGACTGCAGCAGCACTGGAGGAGTGTGGCCATCTATTATCCGGATGATGTGGTTCTCAGCCCAGGTGCCTAATGTGGAACAACCCTGTGCTGAATCAAAGCTTTGGTGGGAGCCAGTGGCTGCTGAAACTGTTTAAATAAGCCAGCCAGATAGTGGATTGATTGTTTTGCAAGTAAAATCAATTTGTAGCTGTCCACTCTGGAGCAACCTCCCTCAGTTCTATGGCAATGGCAGTACCTGTGGAATACTTTCACATACACACACACCCCCAACAAGAATAATCTCTGAGGTTAATTATGAGCCCACTGTTAAAGAGGCATTGCCAGGAGTAATGAGAGGAAAACGCACATCACCACAGGCAGATTTTCTCAACTCAATTTCTAAATTGAATTTTTTTTCTTTTTACAGGCTGCAAAATACAAGCTGGCAGCTCTGCCTGTGGCAGGTGCACTCATCGGAGGAGTGGTGGGGGGTCCCATCGGCCTCCTCGCAGGCTTCAAAGTGGCAGGAATTGCAGCTGCACTTGGTGGTGGTGTGTTGGGCTTCACAGGTGGAAAATTGATACAAAGAAGGAAACAGAAAATGATGGAGAAGCTCACTTCCAGCTGTCCAGACCTCCCTAGCCAAAGCGACAAAAAATGCAGCTAAAGCTCAGGCTTCCACCTGGGCCACGCGTCCACCCTAAGGAGCACCTCGCTGCTGCGGAGTGCTCAGCTGCTGGACAGTGTCAGCCAGCCGTTCTCCATGGCCATGTGCTGTTGAGCCTCCGTCACTGGATGCATTTGTTTGCTGGCTGTTAATGGAGATGTTAGGAGTGGAGGAGCCTGGGCCGAGGGGTGTGGTGTCTGTCAGGTCCAGTTTAAAGACTGCCAAAGAGCAAATGTTCTGCCTGGAAATGTGAAGATTGAACCTATAACTCTAAGGATCTAAGATGTGTACAAATGTATCAGGCACAGGAGGGTCAATGTGTTTGTAGATTATTTCCTCCTGTAGGGAGAAACAGAATGTCAGTTCGGGAGTCTTTCTGTCAGGTAGGGATGTTGCTGCCTAACAAGGGGTGCAGGTGAACTATTTCTGTACTTGGGGACTGATTGTACTTGGATCCATCTATATTTTCTGGTGAAGGAAATTAATACTATAAAATGGAAAGAGAAGCCCACGTTCTCTTTACAGACTGTTCATTGTGACATGGGTGTCTTTTCTGAAGCCTTCCTTGCCTCTCCAGATAAAGAGCACAGAATCTCATAGCTGGATCTACTAACCCAGCCACCTTGCCCACTTGCAGCTGGTGATTCTGAAGTTTCTCTGCTTCTAGGGTGAATTCTATCCATGTAATGAGGATTTTTCTCATAATTCCCATTTTTTTTCGTATCATTTTCCATCTCTAGTTACCCCTTCCTGTAATCTCTTAAATTGAAAAAAATAAAATTTAAATATTTCCAGCATTTTTGGGCAGAAGGAAGTACAAGATCTCATCCTGGGCACTGTAGGACTTCAAGGTGCTGACATACCTGCCCCAAGGGGTCTGGGCCTCTCAGTCCTCCGGATGGGTTGAGAAGGAGCTTTCTACCTCACTTCTGTTGCCGTTGCCCTTTCCCAGGTCATTCCTATCCTGCAGTTTTTACGGCTGCTCTTCCTCTCAGTGTTCACACTTAACTTCTCTCCTGCTCTAGATGGCCAAGGCCAAGATTCAGACCCTCTGCAAGCTCTGTGGTGCTAACATGGACAGCAGACATGGTCCAGTCCAGCTCCATGTCTGTCTCAAACAAAAAGTTTTGAAATTTAGAGAAAAGGAATTTAAGACTATAGGCAGCCTCATCCTGTATCCCAACTCATTTGAGATAGGAGGGAGCAACTGGTTGCCTCATTTTTTAATCTCTCCTGAGGAGAAAGCACGGTCAGCCAGGAGCATGGGTTCAAGCACCGTGGGGTGGTGGCTCACTCCTTTAATCCCAGCACTTTGGAGGCAGTGGTAGGTAGATTGCTGTGAGTTGGAGGCCAGCCTGGTCTACAAGGACAGCTAGGCTGTTACACAGAGAAACACTGTCTCTAAAACAAAACAAAACAAAAACAAACAAAAAAAGAGCTGTGTTGATGTTTGGCCTCTGTTGATTGCTACCTTTCCTTCTCTGAAGATCCTTCCCTCTAGTGCTCTGGAGTCTTGCTGATGCATTCCTATGAAACAAAGCACCACACCCTATTAAACTATCTGGAAGTAGCAAGTCTTTGTTATCTGCTGACTTAAGACTTTAATATCAAAAAGAGGAAGTACTTTGAATGAGTGTCGGATTGTGATCATTGTCTGACACTGGGAATTAAGTATTTGGAGTAATTATTTTTAACTTCATCCTTTTTCTCTGTTTCTTGCTGCTCCTTTAAATTGGGCATGTCAAACCTGAGCAGGAGGCAGAACTCATCCCAATTTGATTTAAAATAAGATTCCTTTTCAATTTTGTCTTGTATTTCAAGATGAGTATCCTGTGTTTCCCTGGCTGTCCTGGAAATCACTCTGTAAACCAGGTTGGCCTTGAAGTAGAGATGCACTTGTTTTTGCCTTGGAGTGCTGGGATTTAAGGCTCGTGCCACCACCACACCACCTGACTATAACAAGATCCTTGAACCGCCTTCACGGGTAATTCTGATACAGCCAGTCCAGCCTGCTTAGCTGGAATTCTCAGAATAAGCTTTGCTGTCTCATTGTTTAGTCTCCTGTGTTCTACATCATCTTCCTCATTGCTTAGTACTTATTCTGCCAGTCCCCAAAGGGCCACTCAGTGTGCCATAATAGCTACAGCGCGAAGAACCAGGATGAGGCTTGCATTTGAAACCTGCATCTTCTGGATGCAGTGGGAACTGTTGACATGATCATGAACTGTCAGTATTGGGCTTTTGACTCTAGCCGTCTAAATGCTTAAGGAAGTTACAGTCTTCTTTTAAATTTTATACTTTAGAATTACTTAGAAATTGTACCTCATTTCCCTACAATAACTTTTTGTGGAAATTGCTGAGAAGTGTTTAATCAACTATAAATTATATAAAGTACTTAAAAGTATAAATTAGTCAATATGACACAGAAATGATCTTAAAATTGAACTTAATATGCCCCGTAGTGTCAAGTTAAATTTATCTTCTCTATGATTTATGTCTTATTTTTATTTCAACCAGTTAAAAAGCACCATTTTAATTAAGGTTGTAAAATTTGTAGATTTTACGTAAAATTACTCATTTCAGTAATAGTAGCACTCCTAAAGATTCTTTTTGATGTTATAATCTGAGAATTTCTCTGAAATTTTGGTGTAACCCATAGTAAAAAAAAATGTATTAAAATTGAACATATATACGTGAAGAATGTTTCCCATTATGTGGAATACATTTTGATGTTTCGTTTTTCAACATTGATTTCAACCCAGTAATCGATGGCACCCTCAGTTTTCAGAAAACAACCTCCCTACAGAAGAACTGGTGTTTCCCAGGCAGTTAGCCAGGCGCTTTAGCAGGTGTTTATGGAGCGGGTAGCTGGGCCTCAGAGGAATTAAGTATTGTGCAGTCCTTCAGTTCCAAAGGAGGAAACTGGGTTGGAACTGGGTTTGTTGGTGTTAGGCTCTGGGCTGGGCTGCACTGCCTCACCCGAAGCCTGGAGACTGTAAGGCCAACTGTGAACAACCCTTGCTGTTCATTTGCTTCTTTGGCTTTTGTGCCTCACCAGGTGTGCAAAGCCTGCTCTCAATTGTGGCCATGGCAGAAGACGGCGCTGCACTGTGTTCTGCTTTATACTCAAGTATAGAATGAAGAGTGCCACCGGCCTTATCCTGCCCCACCTTCTACACATTGGTTTATATCATAGGTTATGATCATTGTTTAAAGTGTCTTATATAATTAAACATAAACAGTACTTTAAAAAAATAAATCTTATAGCTTTTAGAATCAATTAATCATACTCTTTAAATGATGCCCCTGGAAAGCCATGCACACAGGTAGGGTGCTGGTAACAACACTTAGGCTATTTCTGAACATCTGCCACAATATCTGGAACATCTGGATTTGCCACCAAAGAATTGTACATCAAATAAGAAAAGGCACAGGCTGTTTTCTCATGCTTTTGTGACCCTGCTCTCTCCCCATCTCAGTTTTGTGTCTTGGTAGTTTACTATCCTACCTCATACACAGAAGCCAGAGACCTAATATGCCTAGAAGGTGAGCATGCTGAAGCTGCCTAGAACTGGTTGTACATCTGGAGCAGGGACTGGGGTTACCCCGAAACTTTTGCATGGCCACAAATGTCCTCTGCCTGTCTTCTATTCATGCTGTTTTCTGCAGCGTGAGAATGGGATGCTCATAACACCTACTGTTGGCACGAAGTTTTAAATCTGAACTACAAATATCTAGCACACAGTATTTCCTTCCAGCAAAAGCCCAGAAGTCAAACCATCCTTTGACTAGTTAGTAAACAAAGGCATTTTTCAGAAGAGTCCCTTAAGCCCTTCACTGAGAGCACATGGACTCTGGATAGAGGAGGGAAAGTCCGTGGCAAGGGCCTGCTGTATATGCAGTGCCTTCTCAACATAGATTAGACTGTGGCTGTGGTTCTCAGGTGCTTACAGGTATCTGATGACATTCCCAAGTAGGTGGGGGTTCTAACAAGGCAAGGGTGCTTCTTCCCTGACTCACTCATAAGACACATTCAGATTCTGTGTGTGGGGGGTGCTTTTGTTTTGTTTTTCTGAAATGGGGATTTACTGGATGCCAGGTCGACTTTGAATTTGCGATCCTTCTGCTGCCATCTCTCAAATTCTGGGATTATAAGCATCTAACTCTGTTTTATAACTGTTATTAACACTTGTGTTTCTAGCAAATGGTTCTATTTGGGGTCTTCAGTTTGACACCTTCTCACAAAGTGCTGAGTGTTGTAAATAACCAACAAGAGTTATGTATCTACATTGCTCCCATCAAAGAAGTTGGTTTATGACAAAAATGCACCTGGGTGATATTAATCAAACATATATTACAGTGAAAACATTGGCCAGTGATTTGCCCAAGACCACAAAGCTACTTTGTGTAAGATCTAAGAGAATGATATGGGGTGGGGGTGGGGGGAACCCTTCATGTGTTTTTTTATTAGGTTTCATTATGCCATGTCAAGTTGCCTGCTGGAGATTCTCAGCACTTCAGTGGTCCAGATCAGGCAAAATGGAAAGAAGTGTTGTTAGAGGAAAACAGATGCAATCGCTTAGCCTTCAAGCAGTGTCAACCTCAGCACTTGTGCCTCTGCAGCCAACGCACAAGGAGGCCCCTTTAACATGTTGGCAAGGTAAGGACAAGGAAAGGCAAAATGGCAAGAATTTCTGCAAAATTAAGTTCTTCCTGAATCGGTTTGTCATTTATTACATTGCTGAATGGTGCTTGAATAAGGAAATATGCAATAAAATCCACCCATTTAACAAACATTAAACTGACTTCCTGTTGTGTATTGAAAGATAGTGTCATACACTGAAAGACAGACTGTAGGTGCTATCATAGTGAGCCCCGAAGCTACCTGAAGTGGGTATGTCACACCAACACATGCCAAGTGCCAGGAAGAAGATGGACAAAGTATTAAGTCCTCGGTGAAGGAATAACTGGAAACAAACAGGAAGGCTTTGCAGAGCTCAGTGTTTGAGCAGTAGGTAAGGAAGAATATGCCTAGCTGGAAAATGCCGCGTAGACCAGATGCACTCCCTCTGCCTTCCAATGCTGTGATCAAAGACCTGCACCCACATGCCTGGCCTTGAGAATTTTGGAGCTTTTGTTATGGAGGTCAGTTTGCTCACGTTGGGGAATTTTTATTATCATTTCCATCTTATCTCGGTTTGAGTAGATCATCTGCGTCTACAAATCCATCCGCTCTTTACCTTCCGATTTAGGAGAAGATCTATTTTTAAGGTATATCCTACTTTCTCAGTTTACTGGGAAACCACCAACAATTCAGAAAATGATTTTAAAAGACAGTTGTGGAGAAAAGGGGTTGTGACTGACAGATGCCCGATAGTCGTTTGTCCTTCTCCAGAATGATACCCAAATATGAAAATGTATGATGTATGGTTAGGAATAGAGTGGTTTCAGTTAGATCTTCATTTGTATTTCATCCTGGAAAATTGTTATGTATGCTCCTGTTCAGTATCA